AAACGCATTATTGTTTGTATTTCTTTGTGTAATCCTAATTGGAAGTTTTCTAAGGTTAATTCCTGAATCATATCTAGAATTGTCTTCTATTGTTCAGCGGTGTGCTCTCGGCCTTCTGTCATAGATAGAGTTCTATTGCTAGCTTGTCTACACGGAATCCATATTCTCACGCGCTTTCTCCAGGTTTTTGACGAATTATGTTAAATTTGCTGAATGCCAAACGCTTTGCCAAATAACACATCTCGATTTCTTGTTTCAATTGCGCGAACGTGCATAAATCCCTCGTTTAAAAGTTGTGCATAGCTTTTCCTGTTAGTTTGCAATATCGCCTTTAATAATGATTTTTCGTCGGCAGGATTTATTTCACTCATCGCATAAGTGCTCGCGTTTAAAAATTTTTGGATTTGGTTTTGCGACGATCCAGCCATCTCATATCGCGCGCTTTTTTTAGTTTCATAAACGAATTCACGGGGTCTCGCGAATTTCGGACGTCGTCCATTGTATGCCCGTATGTCATTTCTATCGGTTCGTCATTTTCTGCATTCCGATCATAATTTGCGACTTCTAATTGGCTTATGCGGCTCTGTAGCACTCGCATGTGTTGCGGAATACGTAAAATAAGAACAGGATATTAAGAGAGTTTGGAGAGTAAAACTGACGATATTCATTTTTAGAAATACTTTATTGCACACTTCTGTACACTAGAGTAGTACACCGGAAAAGAGAATGAGAGGAAAGCACGAGAGCACGCGCTTCTATATATACTCTCTAGATGTTTTTGTTTGTTTTTTTTTTAAGAACATAGATGGCGCTACCTATTTGTCTAGCCACTGTCCTGCTGCAAATGCATATCCGGCATAAGCGCGATAAACTTATACTTAAACTCAATACTCCCGCCGTTTGAGCGCTTTTTGGGATATTAATCCTAAGCTTGAACACAAGGTTTTGAAACGTACAGGTAGTAATATTTTGGTAAAGATGTCTGCTAACTGCAGTTCGATAGATACATATTCTACGCATAATTCATCTTCAACTTTTTCACGCATATAATGATATCGTCTATGTGTTTTGTATGCTATGAAATTCCGGATTCTTTATTAATTTTAGCACTCTGATTGTCAATGTTTATAATAGTTTTTGCATGGACATCCGATATCACTCAATAAATTTCTTAACCATACAGCTTCTTTTACAACCTCTGTTGCTGCTACGTATTCGAATTCGATTGTGCTCTGAGCGACCAATTTTTGCCTCTTAGAGGACCAAGTTATTATATCATTCGCGAGACTAAATATATCCAGTTGTTGACCTCCGAGTTTCTATGTCGTTTGCATAGTCTGCATCTGAATAACCGATAAGCTCTAACTTACTCCCGCCGCTTCTGTATTCTATATCTAAATCAGATATGCTTATTAAATATTTAAATATTCTTTTCACAGCCAGCCAGTGACTATTATTATATTTGCTTAAATGTCTACTCACAGCATTAACCGCGTATACGATATCGGGTCGCGATAGGAATATAAGAGAATCAACTGCCCTTCGATAAGGCACTTTTGACAAACCGTTTTCGCTTAATTCTACCGGACTTAAAATCATATTTGGATCTGCAGGTATACTATTAGTTTTAGCATCGCTCATTTTAAATTTTTCGATAATATTTTTAACATACGTTTGTTGATGCAGAAACATCATTTTATTTACACGATCTCTTTCTATTTGTAGCACGACAAAAATTTTCGGATCGCTTACGGTAATATTAAACGACTTCTCAAACAGTTCAATTACTGAGTTAAGAGTCTCGCGTGACTCTGCAGCAACAAATCATCCACGAAGAGCGCCAGGTATACTTCACTTCCGCTAATATTACCGTGAAAAATGCACTTATCAGCTTGGGATTCTTTTAAACTAAACTGTTTTAGGTAACCAGTAAATTTTTAGTTCCAACATCTAGATGTTTGTTTTAAAGCGACTTCCCTAACTTGCACATCACTCCTTTCTTCTTTTCTTCAGCGATGAAAAGGCTCTCGGGAATTTCCATGTATATTTCTTTTTTCAGCTCACCATAAAAAAATGCCGTTTTAACGTCGAATTGCACGAGTTCTAAATCCTTCTCTATGACCGTGGTCAGTAGAACTCGCAGAGAGTCGTATCTAACGACTAGGGCAAACGTTTCTATATAATCCAATTCTTGTTGCTGTTTAAAGCCTCTGGCACACAATCGTGCCTTATATCGATATAAATATTTCCAGATGTGTCTTGTAAAACTTTGAAAACCCATTTTGAATCTATAAGTTTTCTGTCTTCAGTTTTTGGTACAATGTTCCAGATTTTATTTATTTTGTGAGCTTCCAGCTCGTCTTTAATTGCTTTTATTCACTCTTCTCTGTCTGGGCTTTTTGATATGTAACTGGAACATTGCATTCAGCAATACAAGCATATCTGGCAGGTGTTCGAATTGTGCTTCGATCTCTGAGGTTTCAACTGCTAGCCACTGATTGCCACCAGCTCCTGCTTCTTCCTGAATTGAATCGTCTGGTACTCCTTCTGCAACTGATTCATTGGCAAGAACTTCTTCGTATTCTTCTCGAGGGAAAGTTATTTTGTCACAGGAGTCTCTCCTTGGAGAGACAATTCTTCTCCTTGGACTTTTTTATTGAAAACGACATCTCTTGATACTGACATATTTGATACACTCCTTGTCTTTAGATCACAAAGCCGGTAATTTGCCGAATCTTCTTGGTACCCTACTAACAGTACCTTCTTTGCTTTTGGATCAAATTTCTGTTTGAACTGCTTATTGTAAATAGACTTCAAAACTGAAGATCTTGAGGTGAAATAAATTTGACTTCTTTCCAACCCAGATTTTGTATGGCGTTGCATTTGAGTTTTTGCTAGACGTTCCATTTAGCACGTATATTGCCGCGTTGACTGCCTCTGCCCACAACAACAATGGGAGATTCTTTGCGTGAATCATTGTTTTTGCGCTTTCCACTATTATTCTATTGTCACGTTCTGATCTCCCATTTTGTTCGGGAATGTACGGCGTGGTGTTCTCCATACGAATTCTTCGAGATGCCAAATATTGCTTCATGTCACTATTACAATATTCCCGACCATTGTCCGACTGTAGCACCTTCATGGGATGTCCAAACTTGTTTTCTATCATTTTCTCATATTCTTTGAAACATTCTAATACGTCTGACATGTGTTTCAAAAAATAGACATGACGAAATTTGACATGTCGTCCTTGAAAATTACAAAAAATCTTTTTCCTTTTAGTGATTCGGTTAAGAATGGTCCACACACATCGGCGTGTATAAATTCATTGGGTTGTGTAACTTTGACATCTTCGCATTTCTTGAACGGAAGTTGATGTGAATTACCGATTTGACAGGCTCCACAAAAGAAATCGTTGACATCCGTTAGTTTTACTCCCTGAACGATACTTTTTTCAGTCATTTCATGCAATGTATGTTTGTTCACATATCCAAGACGGTCATGCCACACTCTTAGATTTGTCGTGGATATGTTGGCTTCTTCTTTGACCCGAGCAGACTTCACTTCGAAAAACATTCGATAAATTCTGTTCTGTGGAATTGTACTAAGAGCAAACACTTTGCCATCGCGTTCAATCGAGACACTTTTCTCTCCAAAACATATTTGAAAACTTTTAGATGCACACACGCTGACCGAAAAAAGATTTTTCTGGATTTTAGGAACATATAATACATTCTCGATATGTAATTCGCTCCATACGCCGTTTACAAATTTGTTTATTATAATTGTACCGACACCTTGTGTTTCGCATATACCGTCATCGCCGAGAACAATTTCGCCACTACACACGCTGACACGAAATTCACTAAACCAGTCCCGTTGATTAATCATATGCTGAGAAGCCCCGCTATCGGTGAACCAGACATCACGTACATCTCGATTCAAGAGTTTCTTTCTTCTTATTTCTTCGATAGGTGGTAGCACGCTTTGATTTTTCTTACCACTCCGTTGATCGAGACTTGGCGAAGATGTTGCAACAAAGATACAATCATGTGACTCGTTTTCAGTCTTTTCTGATTTTTGATTTCGCTTCTTCTTGCGGCACTCACGAGCGAAATGACCCTTCTTTTTACAGTAGTAGCATTCAATCTCTTTCTTGTCAATTTTAGATCTTTCGCCATTTTTATTACTAGATGTTGACTTCCGGTTCGCGCCAAGACTCATGGCAGCAAACGCACTCGTGGCGTCATCTGCAGCTAGCTGACTTTCTTCTTTCACAAGTCTTTCTTGCAGGTTTTCTAGCGTCTGATTAACAGGATCCACGCTGTCTCAAACAGTTTGGAAAGCATTGCACTTCGACGACAAGCTTGCCAATATCTTTACCATCACGACCATATCCGACACGACTTCGCCAATGTCCGTTAATTGTCTTGCCATATTCTGAATTCTAGCCACGTGCTGCACTATCGAATCACTCGTGGCCATTTTGTAGACATGAAATTTTTGCGTTAACATTAATTTGTTTGTGACCGATTTTTGTTCGTGTATATTGTTGAGTTTGTCCCACATTTCTTTCGCTTTCGTACACATCTAACACAATATAGTCTAGCATAGTCTAACTGATTATACTCACACAGTCTAACTGACTATATTCGATCGAAGATGATATAAGAGACATGGCTTTTGCGTTTTCCTTAATCCACGTTTTTGCTAGGGCTGTCGTGTTGGCATCACTCGCGCACCCGACGATATCATGAATACCATGCTCGATGAATCGAGTTCATCTGGAATTTCGTGATGTGCAGACATCTCATCCGACATTTTCACTGTCTCAGTTTGTTACGCACACAAAAATTTTCGCGACACTCTCACAACAAACTCTCCTTTTTAAACAATTTTCGCGATTAGGATGACAGGGCCCATAATCTGTTACGGAATACGTAAAATAAGAACAGAATATTAAGAGAGTTTGGAGAGTAAAACTGACGATATTTGTTTTTAGAAATACTTTATTGCACACTTCTATACACTAGGATAGTACGTGGGAAAAGAGAACGAGAGGAAAACATGCGTTTCTATATATACTCTCTATGTTTTTGTTTTTTTTTTAAGAACATAGATGGCGCTACCCATTTGTCTAGCCACTGTCCCGCTTACATGCAAATGCATATCCGGCATAAGCGCGATAAATTTATATTTCAACAGCATGCCTTCTAATAACTCGGCCAACATTATGTCTCGCGTGTCGCGCGAAGCTTCTGCTGGGTTTCCAATGCGACTGACTTTGTAGCGGATTTATTACTCTGCCAGAAAGGCTATGCTGGCACTGCCTTGCCGAGGAAGTCCGTGAGAGGTCTGAAAGACAGGAGTAGGCAGAATAACTAAGTCGCGCCACGATTTTGTTATCCGACCGTCGCCAGCAACGTCTCGCGAAGTTCTGACTCGGTCACATTTATTCTTGAGCACACAATCATTAAATCTAGAACGTATCAAAGTCACAATGTTAACCGAACAAAGACGCGATATTTACAACGCTTAAAAACTAATAACACAGAACAAAGAGATCGACGACGTACAATGCCAACAGGGGCACCGCGAACACGAGAACAGCGCGTGACAATGTTATTTTCACGTAACGTACAATGCCAGCAAGGACACCGCGGGCACGGAGGAACGTTCGAGAACTAAATACTAGAGACGAGAGAAAATGCAAAAAATGAAGAAAAGAGAAAATGCACTAAAATATATGTCGCTCGCAAAAGAAAGGCGGAGCGCCTGAAACGCAAGCTGCGTGTGCACGCAAGATGCTCGCGAAACGCTCGGAAAACGCAGACTAGACGAGACGCGACACGGACGGAAAACGAGACAGCACACGAGTGCTAGCAAAACGGAACGCGGGCGCGGGTAAAACGGAGCGCACGCGGAAATTGACGGCACAATTATAAGCGCGAGTAAAACGACGGAACTAGGCGATGCGGGCAAACGCAGGACGCGGATGCGACGCCTGCGAAAACACGAGTAAAGACGTCACTCGCGAGCGAGAGAGAAACATTCGGATGATCACTCACCAGCGCGAGAGCGACGGAACACAACGAGCAAGAGAGAGAGAGATATTTCTCACGCGTGAAAGAGAACGAGATGATCATGCGCGAGCGAGAAAGAGAGAGCACGAGTGCACTCGCGTGTCAGGCGCAAGCGAGAGAGGTGGAGGCGCACGCAGAGTGAGAAAGGCGGTGAGCACTCAGCGCAACAGGTGCGGCGCGCCGCACGTGGTCGCACAGCGCCGGCGAGACAGAACTTTTGACACACCACAGTCTTCGTCGCGTACACGACACTTTACACTGTACAGTCGCTGTCACGTACCGGTCACGACACAGTAACGCGTTGACACTGAAGATGCCGGAGTCTCTCTCTTTCTTCTCTCCACCAGACGTGTGGCTGCTGCGTGTTCATTGATTGGCACGTAATGGCCGTTCGACACAATGCGCGTGGTAATGGCCGACGGGGAAGAAGGCGGAAGTTACCACACTAGTCGTGGCACCAATGTCTGCTTCCTCGGTGAACGGTGGCGCTCGGTGGCAAGCGCGCGAGGCAGCGGAGCAGCGACCGGGGGCAAGGGCGCCACAACTTAAAGTAGTTCTCATTCTTTTTATTTCGTCTTCCAGTTCTGTACTTATTATTTATCGCTCTTCCGCGATCAGTTTTAACGGTGTAAGGATTGTTTTGCCATTTCCATCGGGTTTCGTGAAATAGAATTATATATAGATATCGGTATAGAATTCGGTTGGATCAAATACGCTACTATTGTAAGCGAAAATTCTTCGTGACTAGGGTTACTTGTGTTCGTGCCGTCACTATTATCAGATCTTACGTCTATCGGTCGTAGTAGAGCGTTGTCGCGTCTCTCACTACTCGGTAGTAGACTATTGTCTATGTCGCTAAGTGAAAACACGCGTTTAATTACAATATTCGGATGTAATTCTGGTTGACTCGTTAAACTGTCGTCGGAATAATAATTGCTTAAGTCACGGCGTACGTTATCACGCGGATCGCGTGAATTTTCCGTCTGCTCGAGACTCGGGGGACTCGGACTGAGCGCTTGGCTGGCTGACTCGCGGTGTAGCCATGATGTTTCTTTCGATGGGAGTTTAATTAACTTCCTCGTCCGATATCGACTTAATCGCTTCTCTTAATATCTATTGCGCTCGCCTAATTTTCTATAAGTTACATTACGATCGCAATTCGCATGTTGATGACGTATCGCTCGCTGTTGCGGCAGGTCGCTGCTTCTCTAGTGTCGCTGATATGCTTGGCGTTCTGGTCGCTCTACCGGGTGTCTCTCTCCGTAGGGATTTCAGCTCTTCTTTTTTCAGCCTTCTCCTTAAATTTTGGTCGGTTATAATTACAATAAATTTTATTAAACAATACATTTTGTCCTTATTAATTCGGACCGCGACAGACGTGACGGCCAGACAAAATCTTGTAGGAATTTGTTATTCTTTATCATTAAATTTCAGGATATGACGGAAGATGTATCAAAAAGAAGAATATACTTAATCACAGTATATCTTATATATATATATAAACTTCCTTTGCGTATAATGTATAATAAATTGAACAAACATTTGCGTGTATAAAATTGACGGAATGAGGATATATTATTTTTGATATCATTCAAAAATTCGTGCCGGAGCTATTTGCACGCCGGTTTTATTGGAACGGTAAGCGCCACATATTCGGAATTCGGTATACCACGATAATAGAGATATTAATGACATCGCTAATACAAGTGTTCTGTCCGTTACACATACGCCGCGCCGTTCCAATACGCTAGTACTTCAAATTTTACAGTACAATGTAACATTCTTACAATCTTGACGAGTCCCGCTCCTAGCACCGGTCTCCCGTTTTTATCCCGTTCCAAGCGGCCGGTCCTTGCAGCGTAGTCAAAATGCTCG